ACGAGGACTCCAAGATCTTTTTCACACATACTGCTCTCGAGCCAGGCGTCACCCATTCTGTATCTTTGCATTGTATATAATTCAGATTGCTTACTGTATTGTATATGTGTGTATTGGTATGCATTTTACTGTAACTCTATGTTGTGGGAGGGACTATTCAGATCTCAGACTTTATTTTAGAAGTCAGTGGAAACAGAATGCTTTAAAGACTCCATTAGACGCTCGGACCAGAGAAATGCTGCGCCCCTATCTTGGGAGGTCTGACTTGACCACGGTGGTCTACGCTCTTGTTACATCCTGAATAGACTACTGCAATGCACTCTATGTGGGGTTACCTCTGAAGACTGCTCAGAACCTTCAGCTAGTCCAATGGTCAGCAGTCAGGTTACTCACGGGAGCGGGGTACAGGGAGCGCACACAGGGCTGTAGCCAGAAAAAAAATTCGGGAGGGGTTGAAATTTTGGGGGGGGGGTTGAAAATTTCATTGGGGGGGGGGGTTGAAACCTGCCTCCTAGCTCATGCTGAAGCCAAGAGCAGGGGGCAGAGCAGCCTTCAATAGCCTGCAGCTCCGCCCTTGTCAACCACCTCCACCAAGTCTGGCCTCCTTAATGAGAGCATTCAACATCCCCCCCCCCCCCAACTTGGTTGCATCACTACTGTTCTGTCGCGCGCTGGGCCTGTAAATAATTGTCTTTAGAACAGGATGTGCAACCTTTGCTCAGCAGGAAGCCAGGGGGCCTAAAGAGAAGCTCTCAGAGGTTTCCACCACAAACAGTTTTTAGATGGCTTGAGAAGTACAACAAAGTCTTTTATTAATGAACAACCAAACAGAAACTTCTCTTGTCTTCAGTAAAGTTAAGCAAATGATTCCAAGCTTTTAGGCAACTGGTGAATTCCTAATCTTGCCCACGAAGAACAGGCAACTACAAAGACTTCTGGCTGTGTGCAGTTTGTGTGCAGTTTGGTGTCTTCAGCCAAACTGGTGTCTTCAATAACTTCTTCTTTAAAGGAAAATCCCCTTTTTAACTTTTCCCAGGCTGACTGTGATCTAACACTTACTGATGTGGGCTCCGCTACCAGGTTGAACTGCGTCTCGAACATTGAGTGGACCTACCAGCAAGGCAGTAGATGGTCTCCAGCTGGAGTTCTTTGGTCTTTAGAGCTGTTTTCCTGGAAATTCTTTGGAGACTCTTAAGACCTTTCTCCCCTGGAAGGTCTTAAGGGTTGAAGCTTTTGTACAGGGGAAGCGTGCACAAACCCTATACATAAGCTTACCTTGCTGAGACTAACTAAAAATGGCTCCCTTCCCTTCCCAATTTCCCTGAGCAAGGGGCGGGACCAAAACTTAACAATGATGGACAGGTGACTTGCCCTATGACTGCAACCAAAGAAGCCACCTATCTGCAGAGTCCCTGAAACCTAGGACTGCAAGCAAACATTTAATACAAAGCAAATAAAGTTGGAGCTCCTGGTACAGCTGTACCAGAACAACTACATCGGCTATTGCTGCAAGTAATGACAGTGTGAATAAATTGCCAATATTTGCTTGAGATAGCGCTTGCAGTTCTGGAGGGACTCTTGATTTTTTGCGTCTCATAGACTTAGCAGCATGGGGATTGGGTTAACCAGTTAAAATTCATGAGTAAAGCAGGTTTTTTAAAAAAATCTGAAACATTTGGGGGGGGGTTGAACCCCTAACCCCCCCCCCCTCGNCCCCCCCCCCCCCCCCCCCCCCCGCTACAGGCCTGCCTGCTATTCCATAGCACTGAGCCATGTCAGTCAAAGTGGTATTCATTCTACCACTTTGCACCTCAAGTGTACAAAAGGTTTATTTTACAATTTCATTATCTCAGTTAACTTCAAAGGTTCTATAACATCCCTTTGCATATTCATACTCCACACAAACATGGCTGTTTTTGAACTTTGCAGGTAAAGTTTGGCATCTTACCAAGAGCAGAACTGGGGAAAAAGATGCAATAATTTGACTGTGACTAGCTTTTGTCATAAACACAAATTTTATATTGCATACTCTTCGTTTAACTTATTCTCAGTACTCACTGTTGTTTATTATACAGAACTGTCAAATCTTCTGCAGTAATAATGGATAATCAAAATTCAGGTTGATAATAAGAAAACAGATGTTAACATGTTGTTTTGTCCAAATATCAAACAAAAATTAAGTTAGTCACATTTTCCTCTCTAAAAATACTATGTCGTCTACATTCTCTTCAACACAAGTTACATCATTCAGATATTTATGTCTTCATGTACATCTAGTTGTGCATATTAAAACCACAAGAGCATTTTAATACGTATTAAAACTGAACATATACTAATCATATAAAAATGCTTGACAACTATGATTTAAAATCCAAACTAACCTCAGATTTGGTTAGATTTCCACCAAAAATGGTTCCTTTCATAATTTTATTTACATAGTATAGAACTGGAGAAAAGATTTTCTACAAAAATATTTGGCCAAGAATGCTCAATAAAATCAAGTAATAAACTCCAACAACTCAAATTCATATGCAGAACAACATCCCAACCTGATTTCAAGGGGCTTCCCCCATTCATTACAAAACTCCCAAATATTTTAATTTGTTGGAAAAAATATTTCAGCCCTCAGAAAAGTTTTGTTAAGTTTTTCAGCAGCTTTCCGCATTGTGCAATATATAGCTGGAGCTGGAGTAACAAAATGCAATACAAAATGAACGCACTACAGCTGTGGATTCCTGCACTAACAGCCAACTGGGATGCCTTCCAATTCTGGGATTCTACAGGATTCTATAAACTCACATGTTGAAATTATAAATCTCAGCTTTCCCATAAAAGCTCATGTCATCACCATGTGACAACTGCAGCCTCCTAACTTAATCTACCCCAAATTATTTTCCTAAATATAAGAAGGTGTTTCCAATATGTATGGCAAAGAGAGATGGTACTTTACTAACTTCTCCCCTTGTTCACATTTAATATTGTAAATCCAGATTCCTTGTTAAAAGCAACACCAGAGGCACTCCAAGTGGCCAGCTACTGGTCAAAGGTCATTTAATCAACTACCAAGCTTGCAAACTTTGTATTTTGTCTGTTTGTTTGTTTGTTAAAAATGCAATGCAACTGTTCGGTCTGCTTCTGACACAAATAAATACCTTCTCCCCCATTTTGGTTGGCTTGGGGCTTAGGAGAAAATATTCGGTAGATTTAAAGCACAAGAGTGTGGAAAAGGTAGTATTACAATCTCTGCAGTTGTAAAATTCAGACATACAGTATTTGTTTTCTCTTTTCCTTTCTTAAAGGTCTAAATGTATATTGCCCCATTCAATATAAAAAATATTAATTTTCTGCCCCTAAAATAAAGGCCATTTTGTAAAACATGGGATACTTGGAAATCTTATATAGGGCAAGTTCAAAGTGTGCCTTATAACAAACAGCCCTATTATTGTGCTTTGTTTAAATACATGAATCTAGAGAGAGAAATTATTGTAATTTCTTAATATTTTATATTGATTCTACATTGCACCATACAATGAAAAAGCACTAAAACACTCCTTTTCAGTGAACCACTGAAATGCTTGAGCCCAATCTAACTCAATGCAACTCATAAAAAGAACAAACATAGCTAAAAGCAACATATGGACCTTATGGATAGAGTACTTCATAACACACTAGAAAAGGTGAGGTTGCTCTGTGGGATGCTTAGCTCATCAGGGAGGGAAAATGTAATAAAAGAAGCTTACCGCAACTCAGGTTGTTTTCTGCTTTAAGTGCTGATGTTGGGATACTCCAAAAGTCAGTTTCCCAGTCTATAATATTGCCTTTCACATCACAGCTGAGGTTAGAGAGTACTTGGGAGTTCATTGTGAAATTCCAAAGGCGGAAATTATAAATATCTCCATTGAGAGGGTTTATATCCTTTCTATCAGAGCCCAAAACCAACTTTCCATTAGCAGGAATGACTTTTCCATAAGAATCTGAACAGAATATTGTTTTATATGTATGCTTGACATTCACACCAATAGTGCCAGAGTAACTATCCCATACAATGCAAAGCTGTTCAAATGTTTCAGTGAAGAAGTCTCCATCTGGATTGGTATCAAGCGCATCATTTAGCATACATTCTGTGTCTGAGATAAATATAAAGTGCCCCCCTTTTGTTTTTCCGAAGCTGAAGAATTCTGTAGAGGAAGAATCACAATAGGAGAAAGCCTTCCAATCATGGCTACTACCATTGTTTTCAGTTGCTTCAAAGCACAGTGTGAATTGGTTGAGTTCTGGAACTTGGATGGAATTAGCGAGAGACACAGTATCAGTATCCTGGAACTGTGGAATGATAACCTTTTGATTCCTCAAGGCCACAGCAACTGGAATATAAACAGGGTATAATTTAACTTTAATTAATGTGCCATTTTCTCACTTTAAAAGTATGTGGAAAATACGTCAGATTAAGTATATGCTAGGGTGGCAATGATATCTTATTTTATAAATAATCCATTGGGCTTTTCTCCCAGAGAACTTCAATAAGTCATTTATAAACCTGCATTGGTATTTCTAACTATCTGTAAAACAGTAGACTAGTTCTATGAAACAACATTTTCTTTTCTTACATATTATCTCCAAGGGTTTGTTGTGCTTATTAGTATTGAACTAGACTAGAGAAATTAATGGAGAACTTTTTCCAACTTTGCAGAGAGAACCTTTACTATATTGTTTAGCAAATGAAAGCCCTTTGCTTTCTAGCCTTTGAATTTTAATTGAATAAACCTGATCATATTTCCTCACAAAATAACCCTACATAGGAGCCAATAATTGTATTTACATAATGACTAGAAACCAATGCTGCACATTTGCTGGAACTCACTGCTATTACTTGAACCAGTGACATCTTTCAAGTTTGTTGCCCTCTGTGCATTCTGAAAACCTGCTCCAAAGAATTAAAAAACCACCTGGAGGGAATCAAGTTCTAGTTCCAAACAGAAAGAGGTAAACCACTGGGCTTTGGCCAATGACAATTTATTGAGTTCACTGAAGTTTTATTCTCTAGTTACTATAGTTAGTTACTGTTAATTAACTTTCAAACTTTTCATTCAGTATTATGGCTCACTATGTACCACCCCAGGACTCACTGTTGTTTTGTGATGGCACATCAAAATGGCCATAACATTCCTAGTAGAGAGCAGAGGGGATAGGAGATGCCTTTCACAATGTCTCCGTGGTCAGATACAGACTGAGAGCACCTATCTCTGCAATTTTCTGAGATTCTCCAGTCTCTGATGGATGATGTCATTTGGGACATAGTGCAAGGTGAACCAAGGTGTAGGTCAATACCTATCTCTGCAATGACTAAAAAGACATATATAGGTGTGAGTCACATATGTCAGTAACAGAATGCTAGCCTATGTGTTTGCAAAAACTGGAAGTCTCACACAGGCAATCAATCCACTCAGAAGACAGTACATCTGTCTTCTGAGTGCCTGTCTTTAAAAAAAATCACGTGGTTAGCTACATGATTTTTTTTAATGCAAGCACTATCTTATCCTGGCCCACTAAAAAGAATATGTACCTAGTGGGTCAGAACAGAATAGCAGGTGGAGTTTACTGAAGACAGGAGAGATTTGATGGGCCTTTCAAGCATTCTTTTGAACATCATAACCACTTATTTCCCATGGGGATTATCAAGGTTCAAATGGAGTGTAGGAAACTGATTTACTGCTTGGGCAGGTAGAATTCTGCTCATTCATCCTGTAATTCCATAAACTGTAAATCAGTGTTTTAATCTATTTATGGAGGGGATAGGAGAAAGCTGAGTCACTGCTTGACTACACTCCTTATAGTGATCAAATGACAGAGTAGAGATTTGAACCAAACCCCCAGTCTCTTACCTGCTTGGTTACTCCAGTTCCTTAAAGCAGATTAGCTCTACTAAAATGATAAGAGGACACCTATGTAACTGGTTTGAATTATTCAGCTTATAAGTATATCAAAACCTGGCTTCTCTTTTTGTCTGCACAGGCACATATCTTCAAGCCCCAACCCTGAAGAAACATTTCTGAAATGCATTCTGAAGGCATATTAAGAAAGGATACTTTTACATACACTTACCTCGGGTATAACTGGCATTGAAGCCTCTCTTCTGGATGCTAAAGTCACTGGTAAAAGATACAATCATTTCATTCCCAGATGAATTAAACGATAAACCTCTGGCAGTTATACCACACAATGTGACTTCTTTTTCTCCTGTGTGCAATTTTAGGAAATCATAAATGCAGTTGGGAGCTTCTTCAATCTCAAAATCAACAAAGGTAATTTGAATTATGAATCCAGAAGGAGCCCTGATGGTCCATTTGCATGCTTGACTGTTGGGATAATTATTAGGAAAACAGGGTGAGGTAAAAATTCCTGTGGGGTTGGAGAGTACCATGCGACAGTCAGAGCATCTGGAAGCTGTGGAATAAACAAACGAGAGAGAGAGAGAGACAGAGAGAGATGGTCAACAAAGCTAAGATAAATTTGAAAAAAAAAACCCAATGCATTGTCATGGTATTTTATTTATATGTCTAACACGACTAAGAGTATTTGGTCCATTCTCTATGGTTGCCAGACTGAATTTTGGACATGTTTAATACTGAATAGATCTTGGAACAGAACGAGGTACTCTAAAGCTCCATTAGAGTAACGGTGCTCCATGTAGTCATTCCGGCCACATGACCTTGGAGGTGTCTACGGACAATGCTGGCTCTTCGGCTTAGAAATGGAGATGACACGGCTGGACTTCATGTCAGGGGAAAACCTTTACCTTTACCCGAAAGCTCCATTAAACAGAAGGATAGCACTTGTACTCCTTCACTTTCCAAATTGCAACTTTCAAGTTCTCCCTACATGCTGAGCTGAGAACAAGAACAGAAGTGAGTGTGCCTACATGACCCTCTGCTCTCCACTGTGGAGGTAACAGCTATGTTGTATGGGGAAATCTGCAGCTGGGATTTGGAAAGCGGAAAGATACCTTCATCCTACTTGGCAAAACTTTGTGGTACTTTGGCCTATGTCATGAACTAGGCTTCCGCACCTAGGCAGATAGGTTTTGAGTCCTTGTTAGGTTTAGTGTTAGTAACTGTTAGCATTGAACTTGTATTAATTGACTTTTGGGGTTTTTTTTTTTGCATTTGCTTTGTAGTTTGACACTTGGAAAAGATATGAAGGCTGATAACAGACTGTGGGAGTGATTTTTAAAAATCTGTGGCTAACCTGCTTGGTACAGTTATCATAGCTTCCCTGAGGAAAAGTCTCATTAATTGAATAAAACAACTTCTGATAGACAGAAAGCCTACATTGTTAATCCTTTTTGTACTTCATACATTTCCAGAAAAAGTATGTTTGCTAAATACTTACTGGTATAATTTTTACCCATCTCCAGTTTAGGCTTTTGAAGATCCAAAAGAGAACTTTAAATTGGACCCAGGAACTGCTGGCAACCAACAAATGGTTCATGTGGTCTGTCTGCAGTGTTTTATTTTGAACCAATTATAATCTGTGAACTTTCTTCAGAGGTAGCCAAATGTATAGGGCACTGCAGTAATCTAACAGTGATGCTATTCTATGATACGTTTTATTGATTGGCTTATTGGCCGTATCAAAACATTTAACACATAACACAATTAACATATAGTCATACATAGTCATACATACAACATACAACCCTCGGTATAAAAGGAGTTAAAATAAACAAGCTGTTAACAAGATCTCGTTCAGGTCAAATGTCTGCGTCACCTCCACAGTTTACCCCAATTGATTCTAAATGTGCAATTCTCAGCTGTGTTGCTTTGAATAGAAAAAGGGCTGTTTTGTGTGTTATTTTAGGGTTCTGGCCGGCCAACAAAAATGAGGTTTTAATATATGGGTCCCAGTGTGTTTTTTGAATAATGTATGGTCCAAGGCAATGGTCTCTCTCTTTCTTATACAGCTCACAGTTGAACAATACATGTGTGATATCCTCCACCTCTGGTGCTCCACAAATACAAAATCGTTCGTTGTATGGGACTTGATTAAACCTTCCGTGCTTGTCCATTGTATCCAGCTGTTCAAAATGAGCTCTGGTAAATACCCTCCTAAGGTGTTTAGGCATTTCTGTTTTTAGATATCGAGCTGTTTGGAAAGTATGTTTAAAGCGGCCTAACCATTTCAGTGAGCCAGCTTTACTGAGGGTAGCGATGTCTTTTTGGCCTTCTATATCCAATACTCGTTGAGCAACTATTTTTGGGTCTAACTCTTCTAAGAGATTCGGATACCGAGTCGGAAGTCCACAGCTCCTAATGTATTTTGTCAGGAGAACTAACCAAGAGGTCTGATGTTGATTTTCTATCTGCTCTAACAGGCACAGTTTGGGGAGTCTATCATTTTCCATGGCCATCAGTTTTGCCCAGTAGTTGTAGGCCCTGATTTTGGATAAGCCATCCACTGTGTGTACTCCCAGTATCATTGTTAGATTAGAATGTGCTATACAGCAAGATTAAATGTGTTATACAGCAAGATTAAATAGTTCTCAAAAGGGCACATCCCAAACACATGGACAAAACTGTTTAAGAATGAGTATTGCCTTTTTTTTTAAAAAAAAAGTCAGTTTCTTTGGAATTATCAATATTAATATTTCATACAAATATTCTGTTTCAAATGAGATCACCAGTGAAAAATAAAACTAAATCCAATGACTGTACATAAACCTAATTTTCTCTAAATTGATTCTTCTTTATTTGTTTAATATTACATGAGGCATTTACTTTTTAAAATTATTTTACATCTTAAACTATGACTTTAACTCATTAACAATTTTTCAAAACTTTTTTATAGCCATGAAGTAATATTTTATATCATTTGTCCGGAAAGGACCTATACTTGTGGGTACTAAATATATACAAAACAGAACTGCATTATGAATAAATGTGCACAAACAAATTCAGTACAATCATGCCCAAAAAGCCATATGGTTATAGACTTCAGAATCTGACTTTCAACTCTTTCCCCCCTCTTTCTTTTTCCATGACCACTGGTTAATATTTTCCAATGGATGGAAACCCTTAAATGTTAGAGTCCAGTTCTGTAAGTAATTATATGTATGTGTGTGTGTGCACACAATATTCTGTGAGATGGAATTATGTCTGGAATTATATATGAACATTAGGTTATTCTAGGTTCACATGTATAGTACACTGAAATATGTGGAAGAGTGACACATGAAAAAAAAGCAGGAGCTTAGAATAAATAGGTGGAGAGGCTGTCATTGCTGTTTCTCCCTGCCTTCATATACTCAACTCGCTACCAGTTGGAGGAAAGAGAGACCTGAACCTCATGGGTCCTGAAGAGGCCCGAGTGATCTGGGGGAGCCGAGGAGCCAAGGAGAAGGAACCAGGAAGGCGGAGGAAGACAAGGGAGCGCCGCCATTCCAACGCGGCCGGCTTCCTCCCTCCTTTAACAAGACCATAGCCCCCAAAACCTCACCTGGTGAGTGCCGGAGCTTCATTCGGGCTCTGTGGGGGATCGAGCCGCTGCCCGTGCTGCCGCTGGGGCCGCCTAGAAGGTGGTGCTGCGGCGTTCGCTGCCTCCGTGGGACCGCTCCGTTCCGACGCCATTGCGGCCTTGCTGTTTGGGCAGCTGCCGGAGCCCGGAGGTGGAACGCGGAGAGGGGAAGCAGAGCGCCGAGGCCGCCTCCATCTACGGCCTGGCGGGAGCGTTCCCTCTCAGCAGCCAAGCCTCTCGTCAGAGCCGCCGCCCGTACAGCCGCTGGGGCTGCCTAGGAGGTGGGGCTGCCGCTTCTGCCGCCTCCGCAAGACCGCGCCGCCGCCATTTGCGGCCTTGTTACTGGGGCAGCTGCCGGAGCCCAGAGGTGGAACGTGGAGAGGAGAGGCAGAGCGCCGAGGCCGCCTCCATCTGCGGCCTTGCAGGAGCGTTCCCTCTCAGCAGCCAAGCCACTCGTCGGGGCCGCTGCCCGTGCTGCCGCTGGGGCCGCATGGGAGGTGGGGCTGCCGCTTCCGCCGCCTCCGCGGGACTGCGCCGCCGCCATTGCGGCCTTTTTTTTGGGGCGGCTGCCGGAGCCCAGAGGTGGAACGCGGGGAGGAGAGGTAGAGCGCCGAGGCCGCCTCCATCTACGGCCTTACTGGAGCGTTCCCTCTTAGCAGCCAAGTCACCCGTGGGCCTTTGCCGCTCTAATCATCTGGGCCTTCTCTGGGCGGTCCGCGAGCGCTGTTCTAGTTGGGGCCTTTACCACCTGGACCTCACCAAGCAGACCGCTGCGCCGCGAGCGCCGCTCCAACTGGGCCCTTCCATCTGGGCTTCTACCATCTGTACTAGACGCCTTAGCCACCAGGCCCAATGCCGCTGCTCTTTACCATCTGGGCCTTTACCATCTGCGAGGGCTGTTTGCGGGCCCTGGCCACCTGGGCCCTTACCAGCCTTTACCATCTTTTACCACCTGGGCCTCTACCATCTGGGCAAGCCGCGTGTAGACCTTTTTGTGCCGACCTTCTGTGTTGACCGATATTGCAGTTTTTTGTGCTGACCTTTCTGTGTTGACCGATATTGTAGACCATCTTGTGCTGACCACCGCCATGTCGACCATCTCCGGAAGACTGAGAGACTCATTCGCTGTTACATCAGCCGTCCATAGATTACATCTTGAATCATAATAACTTTACCAACTGAGATTACTGCCAACTCATTAATACGGTGTTTACATATTGCTTAATATAGCACTTTAGTGTTCCGATCTACCTGCTGCTAATTGGTACTAAGAACTCAATAGAGCACTTTAAGGCGCCTGCCTCCTTTGCTGCTAAATCGAACTAGCACTTACGCTCCCTCTCCCTATCCCTCCATGCTGCACTTTAGATAGCGCTCAGAGCTAGACGTGGGTATTTGTAGCACTTTAAGATCCTGCACTTTACGAATTGTCCTAGTGACACATAGCTGTGACGTCCTCTGTATTTGCACTCCAAGACCCTTGCACTTTATGAACTACCTAACTATCGCAGCTGAGACGTTTACTACACTTTACTACGATCAATCTTACTGAAGTGTACTATCTCTACCCATGTGGTTCCCCATTCCCCTGTTTGTATTGTCCCTGATATTAGTGACTAGTGGAAGGGGCAAGGGACGAAGTGGGCTGGAGTCCGTGGGTAACAATGAGGTGGGGAGGGGGGAGAAAGGGAATCAAGGGATGTGGCAAGAAAAAACGCCAACAAACCAAACAACTACCAACGAAACAGAAATTAAGACCTTGGACCTGGACTGCGGCATGGAGGAGGGGAGGTGTTCCACTAGCCGAGGGGCCCCCATAGAGGTCGTGGTGGGGAGGGGGAGATGCGGGAAAAGGAGACCTCAAATTCGGCCTAATTCGGAACGCTTACCTACATTAATAATTCCAAACCGGTCTCCTATGGTAAATTGGT